TATGTATATACACACACACACATAATACAAACAAACTCACGCAGGCACACAAATATATATATATGTATTCGAACAAGGGAAGAAAAGCTGTGGTTCCGTTGCATCAGACAACAGAGTGACTTAAAATACAGCAAAACTCTGGTTTGGAGCAAAACACATTTTACAGTCAATAAAAAAAAGAGAGGTAAAATAAATGTAATGAACGTCAGTGCTTGTCCACATTTTACAGCATGAGCCAGAAATAAGTAGAAGTTTGTTCGATGAGCTTTCTCTAGAAAATGCTTTTGTCTCCTTTATGAATTACAAATCATCACTCCATCACTGCTGCTCTTCACACAGTAACTCTGTTCCTTACGTCACAGGAGTCAGAGAAAAGTTGGTGTCTGAGAGTGAGACAAAGGAGCTCTTTCGCTGAATGCAAACAGAAAACAGTTTTGGCTAGAGAATGCTACGTCCACAAGATGTTTGTTTTTTGTTAACAAATGAGCAAGGTTCTATTTACATTTTGCGAGGACTGAATAGAAAGCTACCGCTGCCTTTTATCTATAAAGGCCTGATGCTGCACCGAGAACAAAAATAGACTTTTATCTTGCTTTCTCCATGCAACTCACCGCCATCACTCGTTTCTGTTTTCATATATCAAAACTCAAAGTTCTGTCGGTATAGTACAAATATACAAGTTCCCCATGGCAACGACACAACACACAGAGACTGAGGAGACTCTGCTCTCTGTTGGGGGTCATTACATGTGCTCTCCAAAGACAGTGTATAATGTGGCACTAATTCGATTTTTTGCAATCTTTAACATGGCACAGATTATGAAGTAATACTGCAGTGTACAGGCAGCATGCTGCAGCTCTCACTCAACTGTCGGGGGGGGTTTGCGCAAGCAAAGCTGAGAATAAATACAGCAGCTGTGAGCAATTTCAAAATAAGGGTACAGTACAGTGTAGTCCATGAAATATCAAAATCAATATTCAGGTTATTCTCAGAGTACAACTGTGCCACAGAGTCAGTGGCTGATCAGAACATCAACATACTGGAGGTGAGAGGATGATGCTGTTTCTGTTGTTTTCTGCCTCAACACCGTTAATAATAATACGTTTGTGAATTTAGCCAAGATAAGTACGTTTTTGATTTGTTACAGCTTTAATGGCTTTAAGTGCAATGATTGGCCAAACAGTTTTTGTTGTCCAGCAATATACAAAGTAACCTGGATACATCAAGTCTTATTGGCCGATCCAGAGGAGCGTCGCAGCTTCATGGACATGCGGCTCTTGCTAGTCCGAGGAGACATGGGGGACGCCGAGTCGCTCCCGGCCTCCCCAAGAGCCGGACTTTCTCCCCGAAGAATCTCGAGGCAGGAGCCTGGTGAGGAGGAGGAAGGGTGAGGAGAGGTGAAGAGGATGGATTGACGGGGGAATGGAGGGATAAAGGAGAGGAGGGAGGAGGTAAATAACAGGAGAAAAGGATAATGGGACAAACTGAAAATCACATTATGCCCCATGATGTTCTACTGTGCCAGGCAGCAAAGACTCAAAGACACCTACAGTGACAAACACAGTGAAAATAGACAGACAGAGAGACAGACAGACAGACAGGCAGACAGACAGGCAGACAGACAGACAGACACTACAAAGTTTACTATAAATTCTATATTGGGTTCTTTCTACTTCTATCAAAAACACTAGACACGTTTTGAAATATTATAAATACTATGATGAATAAACTTTGTTTATTTGACACCTGAACATCATTAACTATAAAAATATAACGAAGTTAGAGTGAAAATGAGGCA